ATCGCTTTTATGACATTACCAAATGAACCCTTAATCACATTATATCTCAAATTCTCAATTTTCACATTGTAATAAAAATAATAAATAAGTTGTTCAAGAAATAAGTCAAAATTAATTAATATATATATGAGAAGCTATTTATTTATATTTAATGTAAGTCTTACACTTTTATATGATCAATAGATATCAAATATAGCAAAAATAAATTAATTTTTATATTCCCATTATTTTATTTTACCATATAATTTATCAATTTTTTTTACATATATTAATATATTGAATATATTTAAATTTTAAATATTAATAATAATTATTTATTTAATACTTGATTCAAAAGGTTCTAACAAAAGCCAAATATATCTATTAAAATTCAATTCAATTTCTTAATTTTTTATTTAACTTAAACTTAAGAGAAGAAAATTAGTTTTTTACTTTAAAATCGTAGGATTACATATTTAATTTATTAAAATAAAAAGTTGACCCCACGCGCATCACTGGTAAACAGCAAAATATTGCATGACTCCTTGATTAAAGGAAATTTGAGTCCGGAATTTGCGTGGTCTATGCTTAAAGTTAAACCTTTGAGGCCATCCCCCTATTATGATTCTTTATATATTGACTTTAGACTATTTGTTTGCGGTTTATTTTTTTACTATCAATTTGAAATTCGAAATTCTTTGCCTGCCTCTCATCTTAATTGCACCTTTTGCGTTCTTAAATCCCTTGTTAGAGGGTTAAAGTGTGTGCCATCGACGGTATGAACTTCCATTTGGTTCCCATCTAAACCGGAGGCCAGGAATCAGTCATTTTGCCACGTGGGACCTGTAGGAAAAATCTATGACGACATGCGTCGTTTTGAGAAGTAATGCTGGAAGTTGTAAGGCTTGGTGGGTCTCTTTCATACGTGTCATTAGGGTTCCCACCGTGTCTCTGGTAACCTGTACCAGCCGTTTTATTCGCGAAAGTGGCTTCCCATTGCCCTTTACGCTCCTAAGTTGGTTTGATAAATGATATTTACTTTTAGCAACTATTCGATGTGAAACAATAAATATATCAAATACACATTGACAAACCAACAGCTTGAAAAGACATAATGACTTAAGATCATGTCGTTGCTCTCTTTTTTTTTATATATCACTTAAGAAAACAAAATCCTACATTAAAAATAAATAAAAATAAAAATTTAAACTTTAATTTTGATATTTTTTTAAAATTATTTTGATCACTAAATCAAATAATTAAATATTATTTTTGTTCTCTTAGTTCATACTATTCAACACTAAAAGGTTATATTTTTTATAAAATTTGTAATGTAATGTAATTAATTATAATTTAATATTATATGATGTTTATAAAAAAATTATATAGATTTTATATTTTAAAATGATACAATTTTATATAATTTTTTGTTATAATTAATAATAAAATTATAATAAAAATTATAAATAAAAAATTCTTTTTTTTCGTGTCTTTAAGATCATGCCTCGAGAATGTTTTTTGCTCGGGCCAAAAGAAGCACCACATTCTTTTCACATATTGGCCCCAAATGTGAGAAAATAAAATAATAAATAGAGGTAAAGAGGTCATCTGAATAAATCTTCAATTGCGGCGAGCACCAAGCAGCGCAAGTAAAGAATAACATATATGGTCAATCTAAGGGTTACATGTGCTACTTTTTTTTGCCAATTTGCCATAGGAGCCACGTTAATTGTCCACTTGCTTGATTGTGGATCATGGCAATGTGACTGCTTAAGTTAACATTTTGACAAAAATCAAACGTCCACGTCATCCACGCTTCATTCATCAAAATTAGGGACGGCATCGGGTCGGATTCGGGGCGGGTTTTGCTCGCCCCGAATCCAATCCGAATTATTTTAATACCTGATTTCGATCTGATCCGAAAATATGTAAATCGTATACGATCCGATCCGACTCGAAATTAATAAAATATTATTTTTTAAATATAAATATTTAAAAATATCATTATATAAATATATATATAAATAATTAATTAATTAAAAAATAATTTTTTAATAATGTCGGGTCGGATTTTAGGCATACCCGAACCCTACCCGACTTCGATTATTACCTAAATTTACCCGACCCGAAACCTGAAATTCAAAAAAAAAAAATCCGATCTTATAAGATCGGGTCGGACCGAAACCCGTGAGGACGGGCTTGATTGCCGTCCCTAATCAAAACTATTATTGTAAATATATAAATGTAATAAAAAATATCAATTTTATTCAAAAGGTCAGTTTTTTTTAACTAAATAAAGATAAATACGAGAATTAATTGTAGGAATAAAAATAAAAATGATATAATTTTAAATTACTAGTAGAAGATAAAGATGACAATATCCGAAATCATATCATATATATTTATATTTATATTTATATCTAATAAATGAATTTTTATTTGAAATTAAATTATTATTCATAAGTTTTTATTTTAAATTTTTATTGTTTAAAATTATTTTAGTGGTATATTAAATTTGTTTTAATATATGAATTGTTTCTAAATTTTTATTTATTTTAATAAAAATTAAATATTTTAATATTTACTTTTAAATTTTTTAAAAATCACAATACCTGAAGGATTAGATGCGTAAAATAAAACCCTAGTAAAATGAATACGATTTTTTTTTTTTAAGAAAACTCAATTTGCTGTTATTATTATTGTGCAAGACAGTATAAGTATAATGAAATCTTTTGTAAATGATTAAGCGTGTACTTTAAACATAAAGGCTCAAAACCCTTTCATTTCAATACCACTTAAAATGGAATCATTGTACAAGCAACCGCGTTGATCTTTAGATAAATACAAAATAGAGTACGAAGAGGAAAATTCTCTCTTCCGTTACGTCTAAAAGCAAATTGTCGCACTGGAGATAGCCGTTGATGTGAGGTAAGTGAAAACGCGTTCAACCCAAAATACTAAAAAAAAATGGAAAAGAAAAAAATGCTAGTCTCCATTAGAGATGATGCGGCCACGGACGCTGTGCAACTCCACATGGGACCGCGGCTGCGCGGGGGCGGCCCCCCTATCTCTCTTTTTCGAGCCCGCACCTACAATCCAGCCGTGCATGACATGACGTGGGTCCCGTAAAAGGGTCCAAAACTCGCTTGATTGTGATGTCGTTTTCTTTGTATTGCGACACTTATGCGGCTAAGATAGACGCGAGGAAAAATTTTAAATTTTACGAACGAAATTAATAAAATAGTATATATTATTTACGATGTATTAAAAATAAGTAAGATATATATTAATAATTTAATTTAATTTATGACATTGAAATTTTCATTGTTAATATATAAAAACGAATTCGTCACTAAAATGGACGGGATCCATTTTTTTTTTTCATCTCATTGTTCTCAAATCTCAGAAGGGGTAGTTTTGTAAGTTCGATGCTGATGTGTGGTGATGATGAATGATGATCGTATTTTCTTAGTCCATTATCATCGCTATCATCATGAAGCTTGAAGTGGACGAGTGACATGCATGGATCTTTCGATATAAAGACATATAAAAATTTTGTCAAATGGTGCTTTATGTCTTGTCATAAACGCCACTACGAATGTAACACATGTCTTAAATTCTTTAATAACTCTTAATGCATGTCTTATCTGTTTCATTGTTTATTGTCTTAATTACCCTTTTCACTCCTTTTTTTTTTAATCAATTAAATGGAATTACAACGCACACAGTACACAAGTAAAAAACGTTTTTAATTAATACAAGGGTCAAATTATTTTTAATTAATTTGATTGTCTTATAAATAATTTCCATTTAAAATTGGAAATTATAATTAAATGGATGATTAATCCTTTAAAATTTTTAATTAATATTGGTTTTTTCCCTTGGATTTACTACTAAGATGAGTGAAAGTAGAGAGATATAAAATTCAAAATTTAATTTAATTAATTTATATAATTAAAAAATGACATTTAATACATATAATTTTTTATTCCATCTTCAAATTAAGATTATTATTTTAAATGGGAAGTCCTTTATTCTATCCATTCATTGAAGTTATAACACAAAATGGGTTCTTTTGGTCTGTGAATGTATCTCATAATTTGATAGAAGAAAAATGATGATATGCAACCTATAATTGGTTGTGGTTGGAAGCGGTTGCATGAGATATTAATTCAAGTGTATGCATTCAAATCTACAATGGGAAAATGTCAAAAGAAGAAAACCAATCAATAACTTGGTTATTTTTTAAGGTAATCTATAATTAATAAAACATTTGTAACCAAGCTGGTCTTCCCATCCTTTCCACTGTCTTCCCCTGTTCAGAACTTCGAAAATTTTTTGAATGTCTAAAAAATCTAATGTTTTGACAATGTAAACTTCAAAATTGGCCAGCAAACGGGGGTTTGGGAACTAAAGTTCAAACCAGAATGTGTTGCTCAGGAAAAGTGAAAAAAGTGGGGGATTGAGTATTGACCCCGACAAGGACATGGAAAGGTAGAAAATATAAATGTATATGTAAACAAGTAGGAAAAAGAGGGTAGCAAAGGAAATTGGTAGGGCGTAACTGGTAGTTCATTTACTAGAAGAGTTTTCTGATTTGACAAACCTAAAGAAACAAAACAAAACTACTGCACCACCCCAAAGTTGGATTAAAATCTACTGTCTCAATGTCTCTCTCAGGTCAGGTCCCCTCTCTGCTTGTGTGCCTCTATCTTATTCACATCATCCCACCACCAAAAATTTATGTTACCAATCACTCGTGAAATTTTCACTGCAATCTCGTGATATTAACACGCTACCTGCCGGATCTTTCTTTTTTCCTGGTCAATAATGGCCGGAAAAGGGCTCCTCCACCTACTTCCCTAGAACAACTTTTACATTATTTGAACTTTAAATTAAAAATTGTTGTCAATTATTGATACTTAAACACAATTAACGTTTTTTTTTTGGAAAAAAAAAAGAAAAAGAAAGAAGAACACAAAAGGGTTATGGGTTACAATTCCTATTTTTACATGGCTCGTTCCTAACTTTAGCTTGTAGAAGTTGAATGGGAATGGGATTAAGAAAGAATAAAGTCAGCATTGCAACGAGAGAAATTTACATAAAGGAAAGGGGGCAAAATATGAAAAAAAAAGACGGGAAAGAAAGAGAGAATCTGGTGGGCTTTGAGCTGTATTTAGCTGTATAATTATTTCTTTGCTCCCATACTCTCTCTCTCTCTCTCTCTCTCTCTCTCTCTCTCACACGCATCTCCAAAATCCCTACTAGAAAAACCCTCACCCTTTGTCCTTCTCCTCTAACCCAAAATCCCTATCTTTTCTCCGTTTCCCCTCTCCACATATTTGCATAGACATTTTTGCAAAAACCCCCATTTTCAAACCAAGCTTTGCAAGAAAAGAGTGAGAGATAGAAAGAGAGGTACGAACCAAGCAGACGAAAAGAAAAGAAAGTGGCATTTGTTAAATCAGATGTCTCATGTAAGATGAAGAAGAAGACTCATATCAAGCTCCATTCTTCTCATCTCTCACTCCTGCTCATCTCATTCTTTATCGGCTTCTGTTCCTGTGAGCAGCAGCATTCCTTTTCAAGCCATGGTGGCCTCACTGACCAGGAAGTCTTGTATATCAAGCAGCGTCAGCTTCTCTATTACAGGGATGAGTTTGGTGATAGAGGAGAAAGAGTCACTGTTGACCCATCTCTTGTCTTTGAAAATCCGAGGCTCAGAAATGCTTACATAGCTTTACAAGCTTGGAAACAAGCTATTCTTTCTGACCCTTCCAATTACACAAGTAATTGGGTTGGATCTAATGTTTGCAATTACACTGGGGTTTTCTGTGCTGCTGCACCTGATAACAGGAAAATCAAGACCGTTGCTGGCATTGATCTAAACCATGGTGATATTGCAGGGTACTTGCCGGAGGAGCTTGGCTTACTCACTGATCTTGCATTGTTCCACATCAACTCCAATCGCTTTTGTGGTACTGTTCCGCACAAGTTCGAAAGGCTGAAGTTATTATTCGAGCTGGATCTCAGCAACAACAGGTTTGCTGGTAAGTTTCCTGAAGTGGTTCTGAAGCTGCCTTCACTCAAATTCTTGGATCTGAGGTTCAACGAGTTTGAAGGAACCGTACCAAAAGAACTTTTTGACAAAGATTTGGATGCCATCTTCATCAACCACAACCGCTTCAGATTCAATCTCCCTGACAACTTTGGCAACTCCCCAGTTTCTGTTATTGTCCTAGCCAACAACAAATTCCACGGATGCGTGCCTTCAAGTCTTGGTAACATGAAAGGTCTTGAAGAAATCATTCTTATGAACAATGGTTTGAGATCTTGCTTGCCTAAAGAAATTGGTTTGCTTAGAAACTTGACTGTTTTCGATGTTAGCTTCAATGAGTTAATGGGTCCTCTGCCGGAAAAAATTGGAGAAATGGTCAGCCTTGAGCAACTCAATGTGGCACATAATATGCTCTCTGGTAAAATTCCAGCCGGCATTTGTCAGTTACCGAATTTGCAAAACTTCACATTCTCGTACAATTTCTTCACTGGAGAACCACCTATTTGCCTGAGCTTACAAGATTTTGACGACAGAAGAAATTGCTTGCCTGCAAGACCTCTGCAAAGAAGCGCTGCCCAATGTAAGTCTTTCTTGTCAAGGCCAGTGGATTGCAGTTCATTTGGATGTACTCCTTTTGTTCCTTCTTTACCTTCTCCTCCTCCACCTTCTCCGCCGATACGGGTGCCTTCTCCACCAGTTGTTATGCTATCACCACCACCTCCTTCACCCGTTCATACTCCAAAATTCCCACCACCCCCACCACCGCCGCCCCCTGTATACTCTCCACCTCCCCCGCCAGTTTATTCACCTCCGCCCCCACCACCCGTTTACTCTTCACCTCCCCCTCCACCATCACCACCACCACCACCACCAGTTTATTCACCTCCCCCACCACCGCCCTCGCCACCACCACCACCACCATCACCACCTCCGCCATCCCCACCCCCACCATCGCCTCCCCCGCCTTCACCTCCACCACCAACTTATCCATCACCACCTCCACCGTCACCCCTACCGCCTTCACCAACTCCACCTACATATTGTGTGAGGTCCCCACCTCCTCCGCCACCAAATTCACCACCTCCACCAATTCCATTGTTTTCCCCACCACCACCCGTTCATTACTACTATAGCTCCCCACCACCACCACCTCCGCCACATTCTCCACCACCGCCACCACATTCGCCTCCACCGCCAATTTATCCATACTTATCACCACCTCCTCCAGTTTACTCTCCACCACCACCTTCGCCTCTGCCATGTATAGAACCACCTCCACCCCCACCACCATGTGTAGAGTACTTGCCGCCACCACCAACACCACCTCCATCATCGCCACCTCCCCCAATTCATTACAAGCCTCCCCCATCACCTTCACCTCCACCATCTCCAGTTTATGAATCACCGCCGCCACCCGTTGTAACATATTCCTCGCCACCACCACCGCCAGCTCCTGTATATGAGGGGCCATTGCCACCGGTCATTGGAGTGTCCTACGCATCACCCCCGCCGCCACCTTTCTATTGATTCTTTTTAAGAATTTTCATCCTCTAACCTTAATCACAAACCCCAAAAAATGTTCAAAAAAATTGCATTGGCTATCATCACGCCTTCTTTTTCCTCATCTTTGCACTTTATTACTACAAAAAAAGAACTCTTCTTTCCTCTTGGGAGCAATTCTCATCGCTCATGGAAGGGATTCATAAAAAGTTTTACCGCTTTGAGCTCTCAATGAATGTTATTGAAGAGAGTGGAAAGAAGAGAGAAAGAGAGGGATAGGTATATTTGTTTGAAATTGTTATGGATATTTGGAGTTGTGAAATAAAAATGGCAGAGAAAGAGAGATTAGGCTGCAGAGAAAGTCTTATGTATAGGTATTAATTTTGAGAACCACAATTATCCAGAGCCTTGCTAATGCTGCTGCTAGTTTGTGGGTTTTTATTGTCATTATCATACTTTGTTTCTTTTATGCTTCTCATTTTATAGTATAATCCGATGAACATTTTACTTGTATTGATGATTTTCCTGAATTCAGTTATTCCTTTACTATTCACTATTTATTCTCGATCGTGTTTATCATTTGTTTCTGTATCTTGAGTTTGACTGATGCATATCACCATGCTTCATTCTTTTTGCAATTTAGTTGATCATTTCCTTCTGATTTTCATAGCATTGCGCAGAACAAGTTCATTACTTGATTCTTGGTGTAAGATTAGGTGATTTTGAAAGATGGTTTATTCGTACGAGTTAGATTCTGAATGAAAATTATATTTGTTGATGGGGAGAATCGATTCTTTTGGTACCTTTTTTTTTTTTTGTTCTCTTTAGTTAATCTTTGAATCAGGAACTCAGTGAGGATGAAAGCTGAAATGTGACCCTGCCATCTTTAAGAAAAACTTCCTGTTTCTTTATCTTTCAACATTGTTTAACGACCAATTTCCAGCTTTTTGGCATTATCAAAAGAAAATTTTCCAGCCTTTTGAGGAAAAAGCTTATATTCAGCAAGTTATGGTTGCCTGTAGTTCCAGCATTCCAGGTAAATCTGGGAAGAGGGGGTTTGTTTAGGATCTCTTTGTTGTCTCCGAGTGATTTCATCCAAGCCCAGAATTTTCGATTGAGGCGGCAGGTGCTAGTTGAGATCTTTAGTGGGACTTGAAATGAGGCATTAAAGTTTCCCCCTTAATGGTGGTAGATTCAATCTGTGATCAACTTTTATCATTTGATTACTGTTGTTGGGATTTAGTCCCATGTGCAACCCCCAAATGGTGGGTTGAAATTTTGAATTCCAACCAGATTTCTTCACGCTCAGATTTTTTCGCTTTGGAATCTGGAATTGAAAAGTTCAACTCCTTAGCTGCCGCAATTGGTGGCTACTGCTGTTGACTGATGTCCTTGTTCCTGCACATTTTCTTCTCAGGGGATCATTTCATGAAGCCTCATTTTCCTAGCATATGCACCATCTGAAAGTGCTTCGGCCTCAATTGTTGTGATTGAGTCCGAAAAAATGTGAACAATATGAAATTTAATGGTCTATCAATCAAAATTAGTTCCAAAGCACAGTCGCCACCCAAATTAACTAGAAAGAAAACCCTGTTTTTGACAAATATCAGCATCCAAAATACCTTAATGCCAGGCAGCAACCGCGGCAACGTGGTAACATCATTGCCAAGCGCACTATTAGCCACAGCAGTTTTATCCATGCACTTTTCCATGGCGCCATTCTAAATTGTAGCACAGAATTTGTCTCAATTGAAACTTCAAAGCACATTCCTTCTTCTTGGACACTGTCTAGGACAAGAACAACTTGGGGTCTTCCTCTCGATTAAGAATCCTTCTATAGTTCTAAATGACCCTCCATTGCCAAGTCTCTTTCTGCAGAAATCTCAATTTCTGAAAGGTCAGGAAACAGCACAAATTTTCCATAGGGGTTTGCTTTCTTCCAAAAATGTGTTTTGTTTCCATTGTTAATCAGGTTTTCTTTTGAGAATTGGAGAAAAGAACACTACTAAACTCCTGTCTGGCACTGATAGGAGCATGTGAATCACCAATGCTGTTACTTTTTTTTTTACTGATAAAACAATCCCATTAAATAAAAGGAAAGATGCTGAAGCTAAGCATTCATTTATGTTTTTGCACTACTTTAATCATGTCCCCAGCTATTGCCTTTGGCAACTCTTCACCTATTTATTTGCCTTTCTTCCCCACTTTGCATTATTATTATATATCCGATTACAGAATTATTTTAAGGAATTACATAATCAGTTTAGCATGTGATTTTCTGGCCTTAGAGCAGTATTAAAATAAAGGAGAAAAAATTGTACACTATCACTGATATTCTCCTTTAAGAATCATTAAAAGGAGAATGGAATATATGTTGGATAATGGCATGATTAGGTACATGACCATAAAATAATAGGAACAAAAAATTCAGAATAAAATCACCTTAAGCTAGTGGCAACCAAGCTTTCACCCTTTCATTCAGTCTATGATTGTGAGATATTCCCATAACAAGAAAAATCCACTATCCATAAAAGCAGTGGTTGAATGCAGGAACCCTTGGACAAGGCAACTTAGGGTCACTTTCCCAGCTCTGAAATTTAAATGACTGCCATTAAAATTTCATCACTTTGCCAGTGTTGAGCTTAATTTTGTTCTAAAATGAAATTTAATGCAAAGCCAACAAGTCTTCTAGTTATCTATTTTGCATTTGCAATTGAATGATAAGATACAATTCATAGAAAAAAAAAAAAAAAAAGAGAGCCCTACAAAAGATGATAGTCACATGGGCTGTTACAGCTTTGCACATACGAAACATAATGAAAAACTTAAATGCCATAAATGATTTTTTTTCCTTTTTTTTTGGTTTTATTTCACCTAAAAATGGGACATAACTATTAGTCCATTTAATTAGGTGTTGTGATTGGACAGGCTGTGATTAGGTCACATATATTAATCGCACATTATAAAGTCGTTGCTTATGAAAATTGACCCCATCAAGCACATGAAAAAGGAAATAGGGAACTGGAAAAAGATAAAACAACCTTGAACTTAAAAAGGATTTTTCCACCAAATCCCCCCAATGATTTGAGTCCACCATATAGAAAACCTTTGCCCATGCTTCATAACTAAGTATTGTTTTTTTTGTAAAGTAAGCTAAATATAAAAAATAAAAAAATTAGTATTTAACTTTTAAATCATATGAATTAATTAAGTTAAATTTTTTATTTTTTATTTTTATTAAAATCGAAAAAATTCTTGCAAATGGATAACCAGATACCACTTGGAAAAACAAAAATAATGCATTGTAATGAAGAAAATTAAAGAAGATTTATATAGCTCTATGAGGATTTGCCTAGTTTTAGGCATCATTTTCTTTAAGAATCAATAAAACATTCACACATCCAAACTTCTATTGAGTATTTTGAGTAATAGTGATGGGTGCTGCTAGCTTATTAATGCAACTTTAACAACACAATTGCATACCATTCAATTTCATTGGCCCCTCTAATTATAAATATAAGTATCCTGAGTCAAATCAGTAATTAAAATCTGGTCCCCCCATGTTGATATGGTGAAGCCATTTGGGGTCACCAAGTGAACCACTTATCAAACCATAATCTCAATAATTTCATTAGGAGTGTTAGGTAAGCATAGCCATTCCTTTCTTCTTCTTTAGTATAAACCTATAAACCATTGGCCTTTACATTTTAAAATGGTACAAAAGAAATGAATTCTTCTCCGGGTTATGGTATTCATTGAAATTCAAAAAAAAAAAAAGAAAGGATTTTCTAGAACATACCAAATTTATTTAAATTCAAATATGTTAAGTTTGGTTTTTGATACTTATTCAATTAAAAAAATTACATAAAATTTTAATAAAATAATTACTAAAAATATTAAAATAAGGTCATATTACTCATTGATTTTTTAAATATATCAATTTTTAATTATGTTTTAATTACAATTGTTATTTATTTCACATTCACAACAACAACAAAAAATTGTTGGAACAAAATGTTTTTTTAGTTTTTATGAAATTACGTATATTAGTAAAAATTACATTCTAATTAAATAAAATTTAAAAACTAATAAATAATCCAAATCAACAAATAACTGGATGAAACGAGAGTAGGATCTAAGACATAACATTTCCTAACATTACCATCAAGATCAGCTCTCATTGACGTAAATAAATGGAAACATATTTTTTATAATTACTATAATCTAATTAATCAAAAATAATTCAACATGATGTAAGATTTATAAAAATATTATATCGAAACTATTTTTAAATAATTTTTATTATAATTAATTAATTATAATATTATAATAAAAAATTACAAATAAAATACTCCCGCACTAAACACATTTTTGTACTAAGAAAATATGAATCATAACATTTTAAAAAAAAAATTTTTTTTATGGGAGGAACATATAGACCTAAGATAAGGCCCAAAATTTTTGACAAGCCTACGGTTATGGATTTAAGCGGAGTGAGCTTTGACCCATTTAAGCCCATAAGTTTTTTCTGTTAAGTAGTAGTGTTTTATATATATTTGAAAATTTTAATTTACAATACCTGATTGATAATTAATAAGCCTCTTTCGAAGCTGGTTAGCAAGAAGAACAGCATCAACCTATAAAAATAATAAACAGCATTTAATCCTACTGCCATCCACTCGACCCGAGCAATATAATATTATACAAGATAACAAACATATCATCATAACAATAAATTTCGAAGATCAAATACAAAGAACAGCGAGATCGAAAACTGAAAAATAGGTTTTCAAAATATGAAATATTTTATTTATTTTGTAAGACAGAAAAACAAAAACAAAAAAAAGTAATTAAACAATTCAATAAGAAAATTTCAGATTCTAATCAATTAAAACAAGGAACAAATTTACATCTCCTAAAAGTATCGGCCGCAATAGACACCGACTAACTTTATGAATTTACGTTCCATACTTTCAAATAATTTCATGAAAAAATGCTTAGTAAAAAACTTATTAACAAAAATATTCAATGAATAGGTAAATAGCGTTAACGGCGAATTTTCAGCTCAAGTACTATATATTATACTAGTATGAAATTTTCAATCAATGAATTAGACTAAGAAACAAAACAGTTAGTCGTCGTTTTCATCGTTTAATGCAGAATTAATCAGCCACTCCACTTCCATGGGCTAACTTTTGTCAATAACGAGCGCTTTTTATTTTGCATTTAATAAACCATAAACGCATGTCATATTTAATAATTATATTTCAATTCTTATTTTCATTTGTTATGTGTGAAATAAATTTCATGCCTCAAAATGTCATGTAATCTAGATAATGTGTAATTTGAATTTGCAAGTTCTTCAAATAATCTCAATACTATTTTACATTACAAAGTTACAAGCTGTGACAATTTTCAAAAACTTTCATCAGAAGTGGTTATCTGAGTCAGTGACAGACTACAAAATCATACATGGTAAAAAAAAAAAAAAAAGGAGAGAGAAAATGATACAATTTGTGGGTAACACACAGATCACTCGAAGGAATTTACAATCAGCATCATATCTAAAAACAAACTAGATCCCCACAAGCTTATCCGCAGTACCATTGCAAATTTGTGCTCGCAACTCACTCGCTCACTCGTTTCTCCCTCTGTGTGAGAACCAAACTAATTATCTATGGCCAGTATGGATATCAGATCCTTGTACCAGAAATGAATCACTCGAACTAAAACCAAAATTTCCACCCATCAATTTAACAGGTACTAACAAGAGGATGCTAAACCAGACATCAGGTCCTGGATGCTTTTTTCTTTATATTCAGCCAAATGGGTTGCCCCCAACAGAAGAGTAAGGCTGTGGGGTAGCTGGTGCCGAGAATCTACCAGCCACCTGTTGATCAGTATTCACAAAACCAAAAGATGCCCCACTGCCAATGCTGCCAATTTGATGGCTGCAAAGCAAATAATATCTCATAGATTAGGTACATAAACCTAGAATAATCGTAAAAGTTATCAGAGACAGTAATCAGCAACTGGAGACAAAGCCAGCAACCAAAAATACTCGTAGAAGTTATCAGGTATCACTAAAACAAAGCGCACACTAGTGATGAAGAGAGGGAAATGAAGACAGACATGAACACATATAAAGACAGGATGAGCATACATGAAATCCAAGTAAATCTTCCCCTTATGAATGCATGGATAAAAGTAAATCTTCAAGATTAGAGAAATAATTTACCTGGCAGGTGGCAAGTTATTAGGTAATTGTGCTCCTAGGAATGGCCCTGTAAATTTTTTAAGAATTAAGCACATTAAAGGAATAAAACAATACTACACAACAAGAAGGAGGAATTAAAAGCTTTACTTTGCAGCAATGCTGATGCATAAGGCAGTGACTGCAATGCCATCCCTGATGCATAAGGTAAAGACTGAGGTGGCATCCACACTGATGATGAAGTACCATGGCTAGAAGTGTGCAATAGGCCAGGAGGTGGCACATTTGGTAAGGCACCTTGTAAGGAAGCCATTGAAGGGAACTGCACCACAAGCAACACAATAAAGAAGATTGCAAAAAAAGAAAAAAAAAAAAACAATAAATGTGCAACTCCTAGATAAGTTCAATGGCAAATGGCATTGCTTTGGTATTTCAAAACGTGAGAGTAGGTTGGGAACTGTGGTTATTGGATGAATTGATCATGCATCTCCAAAACTAACAGGCAAAATCAGACTCATATGGTAATTTATCTTCAAGATTGTCAACCAGAAAATTCAGTTTAGACAGCTATGATCTACAAAGTCAAATAAATACCTGAGTTTCATCACAGGCTAAGTGTCACGGTCCACACTAATTTGTGAGATATTATCCGCTCTGGCCCACTGGCCTTACGGTCTTGTCCCACAAAAGGCATCTCACAAGTTGAAGGGGTGTGAACCCTTATATCCCAAAATCAGCTCTAGTACATAGTCGATGTGGGATTCATGGCTCTTCTCTAGGACCATGACATCCTTCCCCACTCCAACGGAGGCCCACCGTCCTTGGTGGCACATCGCTAATACCCCCAGAGCCAGCTCTAATACCAAATGTCACGGTCTATGCTAACTTGTGAGGTATTGTCCGTTCTGGCCCACTGGCCTAACGGTTTTGTCCCACAAAAAGCGCCTCACAAGTTGAAGCGGTGTGAACCCTTATATCCCAATATCAGCTCTGGTACACAGTCGATATAGGATTTATGGCTCCTCTCTAGGACCGTGACACTAAGCCAAAACAGTCAACCTTAGCATCAAGAAATTAAACAATAAACTTGTTTACTCTTTCCCTCTATTACCTAAATTTTACAACGAGACTTAAATTCTACACAAATGCAAAAGACAAGCATGCCAGCATTACAAAACTCTGTCATGAAGTTACCACAAAATCCTATACCCAAATAGGACCAAGTCAGTTGGAGCCACAAGCAATGAAATAGTTCAAAAGAAGTGAATAACATACTGTTTGAGTTTGAACCGGAGGTGCTTCACCGCCAAGATCAAATGGGTTTATTGACCTTGATGACTGAGGAAAAGCGGACATTGGCTGGAACAACCAAATGTATGCAGAACCATAAGTGATTCATCTAGTAACTAGACATGCAGTTAAGAAAGAAAGAACTCATGAACCTAATTGCTCTTGAGATGTAACAGTACCACTGCAGTATTATATTGCATTGCAAACGCCATCCCATGTGGTCGGCCAGTTTGCCACACTGATACAGCTACAGGACAGGAACGGTGGGTTGCAGTAAATAGATCCTGCAAAGAACAAGAAGCTAAGACAACAAATATTCCTCAAATAAAACTACAATATCCTTGTCTAAAAAGAAATTACCGCTGGTAGTTCTGTTCTTCCACTTGTTTTTGTTTCTGTAGAGGGCTGCTGTGTTGCAACAGTAGAAGTGACATCCTGGATAGGTTTTGAGACAGCTTGAGGTGTTTGTACAACTGGTGCACTCAAAGGCTCCTGCACATGCTGGGAAGCAGCAAAATTCCATGGCTGCCAAAATGTTTCGACATGGAATTAGGTGAACAAAGAGTCAATTTTCCATAATATATCACAAAACATAAGAACACTAGAAAATACTTCCCACCTGATTGGTTGAAGCTCCACCAACAGGTAGCATAAATTGTTGGGTAGTAGAGAGACCACCGGCTGCAGAGAAAAAAGAAGTTTGTTGGTGCTGCATATTAGGCCATTGTCCAGCATTATTAACATTGACCTGAGAACTACCACTGCTTGCAGGCATTGTAGGCGTTAATCCAGGGGCAGCTGTCAAAGCACCAGAAGGCAAAGTTGAGATATTGCTAACTGGTGCAGCTGGAGGAGCACCAGCACCAAAGGGTAATGTTTGAATCTGCCTTGTGAATGCAACATTGGAATTACCACCAAGAGGTGCTACATTCACGTTGGCCACAGAAGCAGGTACCTGACCACCAACACTGGTAGACACTCCTGATAGATGACCAGGTACAGATGCTGGAACTGACAATTGAGATAGAACAGAGTCAAGAGTGTTCACATTCGAAGAAGCCCGAGAAACATTTGGCTGAGGGGTAAAATCAAAAGACGCCCAGTTGTTGTCATTGTTAGAACTCGTTGGCTGCACAATGGATTGAGTCACAGTTTTTTGTTGTGTATGAGAAACTGTGGAAGTTACTGGAGGTTCAGGATCAGTATCAAAATCAATTAAGCTCCCAGTCATTTCCAACTTGACTTCCGCAGGATTCCCACTGGTAGATCCCAAGCTGCTAGAGGATACAGTTCTCTGCTAGAAGTAATACACTACAATAAGTCCATTTCCTTTTTCTTTACCCACATTAAAGTTGAAAAAATTTAAAGAATTGACAGGAAAACATCTTTTTTCTCATGCAGTAATGAGAAAGGAAAGAATCTTAATACATGGCCATGCAAAGTTCTAGATTTATGACAAGCAAAGTCCATCTCTTTTAGTGACAATTGACACACAAGTTATACCTATATTCTACTTAAAATGCAAATGGGTTCACACCAAAGCGAGTGAAAGAGACCTAAAGATGCAAAAAGTTAACCATAAAACAACTGCAAAGAATTCATTATGGAAAGCCAAAACTGCTATGCTTCAATTGGGTGCAACTTTATCTAACTTAAAGGTATAAATTATCATGCCAAACATTTTAAAAGTGTTGTTGCAGCAAAGTACCATGATATCATAATCAAATTGACCATAACTGTGGTAAAAGGCATCGCGTCAAAACTATAGGCTTTTAGAACGAATTCAGAAGGGCATAATACTAAGACATAAATAAATTACTCTGAACACCACAAAAAACAAAGAAAAGACTTGTGAACATTGCAAATTAAACCAAAACAAAACCCTAACCACAACATTAAACTATTGTTACACAGCACATAGCAGAAACTACCTGTGTCTGAGGGCCATCAACAGTTCTTCCGCCATTTGCATTTGGAGGTTCACTTATACGAAGGGGTATTACATTCTCACCCAAAATTTCTCTAACAGGACGAACCGCTGGGGGACTGGATGACTCTAAATCTTTTGGTCGGTCAGGTGACCTCCCTTCCAACTTTGGATCTCCATCAGATATTCTACGATCTTCAGGTTTCCTCCCATTACCAAATCTATCTTCTCTGCACCAGTCATTGACAATCTCAGGACGAGCAGGACTTCTTCTGTAATCACCATATTGTCGACTTTCTTGACCATATCCAGGACTTCGCCTTTCATCATAACCATATTTAGAATTTCTGTCATCATTTCTTCCCCCTGGACTGGACCTTTCACTGTAACGGCGTTCATATGTATCTTCATATGGTGGACTTCTGGTCCCTCCCTGGTATCCATCTGTCCTCCTATTCTCATAAAAGTCTTCCTTGTCACCCTGCATAATGCACAATTCAGAAAATCTTAATACAACACTCTACTGTTGCATATTCGATAATATCAGGATACCTAAATATTCCCTCCTCTGGAAGAAGGAACCTAACTTTATAACTGATTGACATTCGATGGAAAATAGGAATGGGGAAGGGCATCTCACCATCTTTCCTCGTGGAGGCTTGTCATAGTTTCTCTCACCACTATATCTTCTATCCACATAAACATGCTTAATGAAGTCTCGAAGCCTCTCAACATTGCTGGCAACAAAGTTTTTGACTCAGAAACATGGCAACTAATGAAGGCACAGAACCAAAAGATTGGATATTTGGGTGATAACCTGCTGTCAGGAACAGAATTACGCTGCGGATCCCATTCTTTAAAATAGATTCCTTTTGCATGCTGCAAGTCAGAGAAACGAACAAGGCAAAATGAGAAACTGGAACAACAGAAATGAAAAGAAAATTACACATACATGAAAGAAATCTTTTTCCTTTTTTCTTTAAAAGGGAAGGGAGAGAGAGAGTTTATCTGTACCTGATTTCCCCCTTCTTGAAGAGCACTAACTTCTTGAGAAGTAAATTTAGACATCGATACTGATTTAACTCTATGTGTGAACTCCCGACTGGAAACAATTAAAACCAGGAGCCAGCTTTAGTAAAGCTACTGACTATCATTAGAAAGGCACTAAATCTCAGATATAAGCTAATCAGCAGCCAATATGTAAAGAAAACTTAATGTGCTAAAAAATGTGAAAACTTACTGTATTCCACTACAGGTGGTGCAAACAAATGTCCAGAAATTTGTGCAAACATATTGAGTCCCCTGCTCAGCTACTAAGTTAGCAAATAGCAACGCTATGACAGAGAAAGTATATGCACTCCAAAATTTACACATTAAAGGAAATCACACTCAATTTGGCATAAGGAAATTGCTGCAAAAAACATATTTCAACTGAATTTCCAGAAGCAACATTCCAGAAGGATATTCAAACAAAAATTTTACGGAACAATCAAAACTTCCCAAAAGGTTTAAGAGTGAAGATTTCAGAATTCATCAAAACTTTAATCACGTTTTCTAATTGTGTCAAATCCATAGAGTATTCAAACATATAAAACCTATCTCACTGGTCATAAGTACAATCCTAAGCAGAACCCGCTTTTTTCCTTTTTTTTTTTTTTTGAAAATTCATGGGTTAACTTTCCATGTTTGCAGGGAAACAAATACAGAAGTATCAATAATATATTCTGTACAATAAATTATTAATGGGCCACAAGCATCAATGATTTCATAAACATCACTGTTGCAAACTTGCAATAAGTTCAAAACCCACATATATAAGCCAGTGTATATTTCTAAATCCGAAAACCAAATGTACTTGATGAACAATTCAGACACAGTTTAATTCCATCAATCTATAGCAGGATACAACAGCACAATCATCAACTATTCGATGCTGGCTCTCTGACTACAATCATGGGATCAAAACATAAGCAAGAAAAACAATAAAAAAGAAAATCATACCAAACTGTTGCAGTTAATACATCTACGATTCTCCGGTTGTTTGAGAAGGCCCCGAATTATTCGCTCATTTTTCTCGTCTTCCTTCACTCGACTCGCCATCATACTGCCAAGCAAAATTAAACAATCTAAATTAGAAACGCCATATTTTTCCTTACTAAACACAGAATTTCCTGCTAATCAAACAAATAAAAAATACAACATACAAAATTTGAACCAACCAAAGGCAACGGATCTGAACAAACAAAGTAACTAAAAAAACACAAAACAGCAAAAACAGATAAAATAAGGACGTGTTTGGAACCCTAGAAAAGTTGACCGAGAAAAAGAAAAAAAGAAGAAACAAAGAACTGACCTGGAATCACAGAGAAAAAGGAAAAGTTTGTTTCAAACTTTCGTTGGGGACTTTTTAATCAAATAATTCCGATCCAACGCCAAGAAAATTATGTAAAAACTAGAGCAACAAAGAGTTGATTAAAATATAAAGAAAACAAAGAATGAAAGAGAGAGAAATTTATAGATCTTTGAAAGGGTGTTTGTGACCACAGAGGAAAGCTTTGGTACAGCTAAGAACTAAGAAAAGGCTGTATAAAATAAATAGGCTGTTTTTTTTTTTTTTTAATGAAGAGCGAGGAAAAAGTAGATTTAAACAGAGAATTTAGAAAGCGAAAGAAATTCGGGATTTTTTTTTTTTTTTTTTTTTTTTAGTTTTGACTGTGTTCTCGGACAGAGAAGAGAAAAGAGGAAAGGGTTTGTTCCCTTGCAGGTGCTCTTTCTTTGACGATTTTGGTGACTCGTCTACGTTGTTGAAGTGAGACGACCTGTTAATAAGTTTCTTTACTAAATTACCATGTCCTAATAACTGGAGGTAGGATTTTCGTTTTTAAGATTATAATTTATAAAATTATTTTATGAGAATCAAGTAAAAAATAATTATTATATAATTTGATTGAAAAAAATGTTGGTCAAATATTATGAAAACGTCTAATTATTTAAAAAATTATGTTTTAGAATATGCAAAGAATATGATTAAAATATTATTTTATTTTTAATAAATCTCATTTTCTTTTCTTTTTGTCTTTTCTTATACCATTCCAGCCAACCCCAGTTAGAAAATCGTCGACGGTGACGCTTTTGACTTGGGCTGATCCACGAAAACTATCGCCCGAGAACTGGATTACCCATATCAGCGGTCATTTCAGGCCGTTGAACGCATCTCCGCGACAAAAGATGGCTGTTACCGACCAGATCTGTGGCTTTTGGTGCCGGTTCGACGAACCAGCGGCTAGATCTTGTCTTTAGCAGTTCGATCTGGCTTACATCGACCCAAATCCGGCCCCTCACGTCGGAATATAACGTTTTCGTTGAAGATAATTTCTCGGAAAGTCGCCAGAATCTAAGAAAAGAAGAAATAATTTGGCTTCAGGCAAACTAATCTAACCAAAAATTTTGCCAGAGGCTGCCGGTGATTTTCCCGACGCCGGGTGAGCTGACTGGTTTTTTCCGGTTCCTTTCTCGCTCCTGGTGATGGACAAATTAGGATTTCAAAAATTAAACAAGGGCAAAAGAGACAAAAATAATTATAATATTGCATTTGACCAAAAAATTACCATAAAAGGCCATTCTTAAATAAAGATAAGAATATCCAGTCAGGCAGGCAGACCTTGATGCAACTCCCGTTGTGATTTTTATTTTTCATTTGATTTTTTTTATTTTTATGATCTTTTTCTTTCATGCTAAATTTTAAAGGATGTCTTATTCTATCAATGAACAATCTGGAGTTTTAGAAGTTGGGATCTAGACATGAAATTAATTTTAAATTAATTATAAAATTGATTTCAGAACACCATCAAGTAAGAAATATATCACAACTAATCAAATGAAAATTATTTTTCAAACGAGTGATAAAAGCCCAATGCCAAATTGAGGAAAAGAATCCATTCTGCTTGCATCAGCTGTGTAACATGAGATACATACATTGATTTTATTCGTGTAAGTAAGCATATATATATATATTATATTATCACTCATCAAAAGTAATTGAACGTTTGGATACAACTGTATCTTTAATGAAATATAGTTAAGTTTTAATTATAATCAATTAAATTTAAATATTAATTTTAATAAAATTTATTTAATATAAATTTTGTATTATAATTACCGTAAATTTTTAATTGTAATTATAATAAATTTTATTATTATTTTTAATATCATTGAACCATTGTTTATCCAAATGAATCATAAATTTTAAATAAAGTCATATTGTTAAAAAAATAAACATTTAAATATATTTGGACCTTTTGCATCAAAAAAATCAAATTATTTTGAATTAGGTTTATTGGAATATTGAGTTGTTAGGTTTGAGTAACTTGGGCTTAACATTTATATTAGAATTATTTCAAGGCAATTTCTATATAAAATCATATTTTTGTTTTTTTCACACTTATGTGTTAAATACAGTCATATTTCCAACATATTTAAGTAAAATTGTTTATTATAGGCAAACACATTTACCTTCGAAACTTTCAATAATTCTCTCATTTTTAATCGGTCAAACTTTTTTTTTTTTTAGTAGTTTGCTTTGATAAAAAATTTTATACCCTTAATATCTATTTTGAGCCAAGATTAGAAGGAAATTGGCAACAAAATTAAATCCGAGGCAAGATTGATGTTTTTCTTTTAATTTTTGAATAAAATCTTAAATTTGTACAATATTGAGCAAAAACTTTACAATCATATGAATATGCATTTATGTATGGCTTTAAAGTAAGGATGGTAATAGGTTAAAACAGATCAGTTTTTGCTCACCTCAAATTTGATCAAATTTTACACATATCAAATTTGAATTCAATTCGATTTAAATTTTTTTATTTTTTTAATACTTGAACTTAAATCTAATTCGATATTGTATAAATCGTACTCGATTTGATCAAAAATTAATAAAATATTATTTTTTAAAATATAAAATATTATTTTTTAAATATAAATATTTAAATATATAATTATATAAATAAAAATTAATTTAAAATTATTTTTATATAAAATCGGATCGAATTATATTTATCTAAAATTTAAACCTAATTTGATATCAATCTTTTTTTTAACGTTACCCAACTCGATTTAATTCGAAACTCAAATTAAAAAAAATTTAATTATATAAAATTAAATCGAATAAAAATTTATCGAAAACGGATTAAATTATCCATCTTACTTCGAAGTCGTATAGATACGAATATTTGTACGTAAAGCAGCATTAATTCATTGATAAAGAAGCTTGTTGTTTTTCAGAGATTGGATTGCTCGGTTGGCGCGTCTCCATCCACAGGATAACTTACTTTTTTATTCATGCATACATAAATATCTGGAAAGTTCAAACAAAATTTAAAAACGCATGATTAAAAGGGTTTTAAATTAATTTAATATGTATTTTTAAAGAAATTTTAAAAATTTTAAATATATATTTCTGCATGAACTATATGCCAATAATTTCAGTTGAAAGACGAAAAATTAAGTGACCGGTGTTGAAGGATAGCAAAGTAATTTTAATAAAGATAATTAAATATTTTTTTATGAGTATTTTTGTTATACTAAATTAAATTTTGGTCGAAAAAAAATTGGCTATATAAAAAATTTATCTTATTTTAAAGTTAATTTATTGAATTTTAAAATTAAATTGATTTAAAATTTAACTATTTTGAATTAATTTTTTTATTGTTCGAATTCAATTTATATGAGTTCAAAGTTGTTAATCTTTTGATCAAATTAAATTAAGTCAAATTCATATTCAAATAAATTTGAATAAAATTTTCAAATCCAAATAAATTTTTGACTAATTTTTGTTGATATCGTTTGGCATGGTGAAAAAAAAAATCATTAATAAGAATTTCCTTTTATTGAAAGGTTTACAATGGTGGCAACCATTGAGACATTCAATAGTTGGTTATACATTCCACTCATATCATTTTTAATGTAGATGGATGAATTTAACTATTTGAATCGTTTATTAATTTTAATAAGAGAAAGAACAACTTAATAAGGAGGATGATAAACATCGACAATACCAAACATAGTCCATAATCATTCTAAATTTTTATTTGAATTTTATTATATTTTTTATATAACGTGATTGAATTTATCGTATTATTAATTAAATTTTAATTTTAATAAGATTTATTTAATATAAAATTTTTATTATTTTTTTTAATTATAATAATAATAATTATTGTTATCATTTTTAATTTTATTAAAATTAATCCTATCGTTCGTGAGAAACCTAAAAATATGAGTGTAAATATTTGCTTTTGTCACTCATTCTTAAAAAGGAACACCATTGCTAAATTGTTTTGTAGTGCACATGCAAGGATCAATAGCAACATCACATCATGCTTTATTAAACACTTGATCAATTATGGTTGCTTGAGTTTAAGGAAAAATATTAAGAAAAACGCGGCGCACTCTAAAAAAAAGGTTATTTTTATGTTAAGAGTCGCTTGAATGCTTTATAAAAAAATACTTTCATTATCTTATTTTATTTGTTTATATTTGATTTTTTACTATATAAATTTAATTTGGGTCATAATTTTTAAAATATTATATTAAATTAAAAAGTTTTAAATATATATTTAAAAATTTTAAAGTTTACAAATTTATTTTAAAATTTTAATAATTTTAGTGAAAATAATGATCAAATTTAATATAATTTGGTCATGCTCCAACCTTGAAAATTATTGAGAGGAATGTGACCTATTTCGAGTGATTATGAGGTGGGAAAGCCCAGAATTTGCTGTTATTATTATTATTAATTTACTTTTAGGACGCCAACTTTGGAAGATAAAAAGACAAAAAATACGGAGGTGAACCTGAAAGCTTGGAGGACAAGTAAAAGAAGAACGCGAAGAGGAAGTCGCAGAACAAGTAATGGCGACAAAACAGAAAGGAAAAGAGAAGGTAAACGATGGCTACAACGACGCCTGTACGTTTCCAAGAACTGGTGCGTTTACATGCACAACGATCGTTTTGGCGGTCTTCGTCGTCGAAGTCGTGATCAAGGCAGGTATATTCGCTTTCTCTTTAGGTCGAGTTTGAATATAAAACGGTTAAAAGTCATTGAACAATAATTAAATTATAAGATTCATTTTCTTCACCGGTTAAGGTACCGCGTTTTGATTTGTTTTGTTGAGAATGTTTGAACTACCAAGTAACGGTGAAGAAACCGAGAGGAAAAAAGAAGGTAAACGATGGCGACAACGACGCCTTTGCGGTTCCAAGAACCGGTGCGTTTTACATGCACGACGACCGTTTTGGCGGTCTTCGTCGTCAAAGTCGCGATCAAGGCAGGTATCTCCGTTTTCTCTTTAGGTCGAGTTTGCATGCTAAACGATTAAATGTCATCTAACAATAATTAAATGTAAGATTCATTTTCTCCACCAGTTAAGGTACAGTGTCTTGATTTGTTTTGGTGAGAATGTTGAAATACATTTTGATTCAAGTTTTTTAAACTCTCTTCATTAATCTTAGATAGGTTTAAATTTTTTATTTGTTCAAGCTCATTTAATTTTGCCTATGGATTATAGTAGATGTTAGTTCACATGGTGATTCCGAAAAGTAATGGGCATTAAATATTCTGGTGTGTATGGCCTATGAGGCAAGGTATTGTTGAGTTCAATGTTGAAAAATTAACTGACAATAAGAATGTGCTAACCTCTTGATGCGTGATCTAGTTATCACTTTAGTTCTGCTTCATTTAACCATTTAGATTTGCATTAAAACCTCTGGCCTTACTGTAATTAATCAATAGGAGATGTCTGGTCACTGGTCATTTTACCTTTTTTGTAGTCTAGCTGTTAAAATGAATATTCATCAGAGCAATTTATTTGTATATTTTGGTTGCACTGTAAGATTTTAGTTACTGTTATACTCACTAATCGATCATCAATCAGTTGAGATCTATTGGTTATATAGTGGTTTTAGTTAATGTTTTAGGTTGTTAGTATATGTTTTCATGTCACCTTGCTTAGATCGGCATTCAGCAGACCATTTTTAAAATTTTCAAAAGCTGAGTTCATGGTTGATTTTTATAGTCAATGTATAGAGAAATAATTCAATAAAATGCGCGGATGTTGCATATACTGTCATATGATGGATATTGTTTTTTCCGAACCAATTTCATTGGCAATTTTCTTTGTGTTTGGTGATTTCTGTACTTTTTTTTCCATAAATATTCTTTGTAGTTTCTTCTTGTTTTTGTCATTTGATTACACTTCATCTATCATCTTTGTTGTCTTTCTTCTTTCAGGAAAAGAAACATCTGTGAATCGAGATGAATTGAAATGGATGCATGACAAGTTTGAAGAGATGAAACTAGAGGAAGCACACAACGAGGAACTTAATGCCTTTGAAGTTCAGTCTACATGCTGAATACTGTTTTTCCACTTCATGATGCTTTTTTCATAAGGTAGCGGGAAAGAAATCTCGTTGATGAGATTCTACATAAGAGTAATGAAAGCACCAGTGTAACACCTTTTTTTTGATTGATTGTGTCACTAGGTACACAGGACTTCAAATGATTATTATCATCAAGGTTGCTACAAGAATAATACTAGAAGTGGTGGTTATAAAGCAAAAGAATTCTGACCACATTCCAAATATGGCAATTATAGTAGTTCTTCAATAATGGTGAAAGGATGGGCCTGTTAGAAATAAACCTCTGTCAAAGAACATCTTTCTAAATCCACCGATGAAAAGCATGCAGTCAGCTGACATGTTTGGATGATGCTCTCCTCTTCCCGTGTTTTGTTAGATTGCTTTTTGTTGCTTGGTGAATTTTCAGATTGGAGAAGATCCAAGGAAAAAGTCCCACAACAGATTTTCAGCAAATAATAATCAGCAGTAAGTTATAAACACTCGTATGCATGTACTAACTATACCCTTTTAACTCTTTGGTTTGTTTCATTATTCTTGTTTCCAAGACATTGT